CTCAGCCTTCATAGGCTTTTCCTATTGTTCTCAATGTGCTTGTCAGGCTTCGAAGGCTGCTCACTAAGGAAATTTGCAACTTTCCCGGGCTTATATATTTCAGCTTGAGTGCTGACTAAAGTCTATATTCAAGCTTAGCTAACTACTTAGGAAACACTTAGTTAACTACTTAGCTAACTTGTTATAAGTCGTTAGCTAACCATCATAACCATGCTAAGTCACTAGTAAGCACACAGCCGATCCAAGTACCACACTTGTTACATTTATCCCGCCCATCGTCTCCACCTGTCGCCGACATCGTCTCTCCTATTTTCCCCAAGGACATGATCAGCTATACCAATGCCCCCACCTGGTCGAGCAGGCGGGACAGGATTTTGAGCATTACGATCCCCAGGGTTAGGCGCCTAATCCTGTGCCCTTGCCCAGCGAATGCGTTGTACCCAACGTTTGGTCTTCCCTGAGGCCCACGAGGATTTTGCTGAGCACCCTGAATCATGTCAGCCGCGTCATCGACATGTCCCTCAATCTCGGCAAGTTGCCCCATAACTCGGGTATTCAACTCATTCAAGACACGGATATTTCCTTCGACAGTGTTAACCCTTCGCATTGTCGCGTCAAGCGTGCTACGATAGTAAACAAGCTCCCGCCCAACGATGGATTGAACCTGCTCCGCACTTGAAGGAAGATTGGTAAGCTGATTTCTTATAGCTTGTGCAGCCTGCTGAAGCCTTTGAGTATTCTCGTTGAACGCAGCAATCTGAGCGTTCACAGGGAGAATACCGACTCTAGTGGTTAATTCCCTGACATTCACATCAGTCCCGCTGCTCGTGCCCCTATCGGGCCCCGATGCAGCCGGAGCGTCAGAAGATGTGGTCAGCCTTACGGCCTTCTCTGTTGAAGAGAGTCGTTTCTCGAACTTCTCAATCTCAGTGTTGGTCTGATCCTCAAAAGCAGCATGACTTCTGAACATGGCACGATGCTTATCCTGGATAACCTGATGAAGCTGACTTAAGCCACCCTCTATCTCCCTCGCGGATTCCCGGACTTCGTTGGAAAGCGAGTTGATCCTCTGATCCATGATCTCGCTCTGCTCATCAACAGCATATCTAACGATTGCTCTGCTGTCAGGAATGATTTCACCGGCAAACCGTTGAACTATCGTTCGCATCCGATCAGCATCCGCCTGGGTCGCAATCTTGGTAGCCAAGCGGTCAACCTTATCCTTCATCTGCTGATTCTCATCACGCCACTCCCGACGCATGGAACTCACCTGACCATTCAACGACCTGATCTGGCTAGCAATTAAAAGCGTTGAGAGTGTTCACAACGGAGCTAGAGGCCTCACCTCTCTCAAGCATCTCCTGGATGTGCAAATCGAAAACCTCCTTACTCCTGGCATCGCCGGATTCCCCAGAGGAATGAGATCTAAGAGCCGGAGGGGTCGATATCTCGATCCTCTCAGGAACTCTTTCAACTCTGGCGCGCCCCCTGGAACAGGATCATCAGTGATTCTGAGCAGCGTGTTCGGGCTAAGGCCCCTTCCCCGGCTATCGCCGGATCTGGGATTAACATTCGAACCACGAGACTCAGGAGTTGAGTGAATATGAATGTCAGCAGGATCAAACATGTCCTCATCCTGCGGCATTGAACCTATCTGTTCAGGACTAGCCCTCCTCGCCTTCGACCTATCGGTCCCTCCGGCTAAGGGCGACGGCCTCTTCGCAGAAGCACTGCGTTCCCTGCTGGCTGATCCCCACTGGGGGTGAATTCATTGCTAGACCTTAGTGGTTCGAGGTCGCTGAGATCTCGCCCTAACGGGCTAGCGATCGACGGACGATCCTCGATTTCAAGTGCACTAGCCAGCCTACCGTCTCTCGCACCTGCTTCAACCACATTGGCAGCCCGTTCGGTGATCCTGGACGAACCAGTACCCCGGTTCACATCCTCAACCCTCTGATGCAGCGGTCCTCCAAAAGTGATGTTGGGAAAAGGGGGAACATTCGGGGCAGGATCAAATGCGGGAGGACCTATCGGTCCTTTCCGGTCATGGATGGCCTCCAAACCCCTAAGAACGTCCCGGCTATCTCTGGCCCTTTCTCTCCGACTCCGGGTATCCCTGTCCTCATCCCTTGCAGCTCCGCGAGAGAGGCTCCTGGGACGGCTCCGTGCATTCCGGTATGACAAGCTTTCTTCCTCATCACGACCATCCGCAAATGCGGCATAATCTTCATCATCATTGAACTCAAATTTGGCCATCGAAACAGGGTTGGGCCTATCGGCATCAGACTCCTGCTTCACGCTACTGCCCCAGCCTGCGGTTGATGTTAACAGGGCATCGTATCCGATGCCTGCAAACGTCCTCTCCTCGTGCTCATCAAACTGACCTGGATTTTGAGAACCGGTGGATCGACCCGAGATATCTCTCGGAGCCAAAACCATGGTTCCCGGTCCTCGCATCCGAGGCCTGCGATTCACCTGGAACAAGAGACCTTGAAGTTCGAGTGGGCATGGCCTCCGGGTCGTCCGAATGAGGGCGGGCCATGTTCATCGCCATGCTGATGAAGTCCAAATGTCCTTGTCTGAATCCTGATTCGGAGCCGCCCCTATCGGGGCGAGCTCTTTGTCCTTGCTCATCATCGGTGGCCTGACGGAAAATGCGATCGTCTCCATCGTCAGTGTACCTGCCACGGCTTCTGGGTGTGTCCCTATCGGGATCATCACCCCTGCGATCCTGACCTGCTGAACCTGCCTCAAATTCCTTGAAGTCATAGTCCGGCAAGTCCTCACCTGAGCGAAGGCCACCTAGGATAGCCTCCTCATCCACGACACTCCTATGAGAGCGTGGGGTTTCTTCGTTGAGCTTGTAGTTGATGGTCTCAAGCGCGTAGGAAAGTCCTACGGCTGATAACCTGTGATTCGGGCACGAACCTGTGCCCAGGCAATGGGTTAGTTGGGGTAAACAAGCCACAAAGGAAGGTTCCCCAAAAGCAAACCAATCCCCGGTCCCAAAGATCAGGGTTTCCCACACACCAGAGAACAACAACCAAAAGGAAAATACCAAAACAAGTAAACAAGTACCCGCAACCTTGGTCGACGATGAACCGCACGGGCGGACCCCACCAATCTGCCCCGGGCCGATGTCTCTTTCTCCACCGACACGAAGGTGATCGACGCGGGGACCCGGCGACGCTCATCCGAGGCGCGACGGACCCGCAAACTTGAGCCAAACATCACAGGTCAGTCACTACCGCGACATCCCTGATGATGAAATGAACCATGGCTAATCACAAAAAGGACAGTCTATAAGTCTGCTGATGTTGGCAGTTGGCAAGCACGACTCAAAGGCCTTGAGGACAGCATGGGCACCCTTAAGACATGTTCCAACGTCCCGCCCAAGTCTTGCAACACAATGTATACAACACGGGCCCAAGTTTTGAAACATGGACAGGCGTGCAGCGGCCGCATTAATGGCAATCTCACGTCCAGGATGACAACGGTGATGATGACGATGATGACGATGATGATGATGACGATGATGATGACAATAATCACCACCATGGTGATGATGACATGCTCATCATCACATCATCATTGTTGCGACCTGATTGAAGATGCAGAGGATGCGTAGATGTGATTACCGTCATGACTGCTGGTGATGCAGAGGATGCACGATGATGGTTAGGCTCCTCGGGTGTGCCCCAGAGCAATGGGCAATTTAGCATTCAAAATAATTGAAATAAGGAATGAATCAAGAACCTTCAGCGTGGGCTCCTTTTAGCAGGCAATCTCGCTGTCATGTACGGAGGAAAACGCCACCAACCGCAGCGATACCAAACCCAGCGTGACAGCATGTGCAAGACAGTTCAGCACACGCATCCCAAAAGGAGTCCCATGTTTGGCAACCGCCCGCAAAGCCTTCCAATCCAGAGAGCAAAGCATAAAGCGACTTCTTTCCCAAATGCTGGAATCTGTGCTTGCCGTTGGCTCCAGACAAGGAAGGTTCTGCCTCCATATCGGAAAACAGGACTCTAGTGGTTACAAGGTGCATGAGCCAAACAAAGAGGTATCGAGGTCGCCTTGCCTTGCTCCGGTGAACCTGATTTCATAAGTTTCACAGAATCTTAATAAAGAAGGCGCTGATCCACTGCTTTCACGTAAGCAACACATCGGCATTCACCTTATCAGCCAACCATCTCAAAGCACACACCAAATTAACCAAAATGGCCTAGGCGAAACTGATGTCAACAATGCATACGAGTGCTCGGTCTGGACTCGGTCTTCATTGATACATGCCCGCGAGGGCTGAAACCTTCCATACAATGTAGCTAGGGGCGACTAATGAATAAAGGAAGACCTTGTGCATGTGCCACCGGGGCTGGTCTCCGGATGGGCATTGTTTGATTTTGGTTTTATGTATCATGGGCGATGCAAAAAGAGCAACAACAACGGTTTGCATATGTGCTAATACACATGTAAGTCGCACTGCATGAAACAAACAAACAAACAAACAGGCAGACAAACAAACACACCTACTTGACAAACGAGCAAAACAACAAACTAACAAGCTAACAAACTAACTAGCAGCGCAAGCAAGCAAGCAAGCAAGCAAGCAAGCAAGCAAGCAAGCAAGCAAGCAAGCAAGCAAGCAAGCAAGCAAGCAAGCAAGCAAGCAAGCAAGCAAGCAAGCAAGCAAGCAAGCAAGCAAGCAAGCAAGCAAGCAAGCAAGCAAGCAAGCAAGCAAGCAAGCAAGCAAGCAAGCAAGCAAGCAAGCAAGCAAGCAAGCAAGCAAGCAAGCAAGCAAGCAAGCAAGCAAGCAAGCAAGCAACAAACCTGTCATCACTGATTCGCTGATCCACTGTGTCTCTTGCTTGTGATTTTACGGGTACCCCTTTTTGCGGTAAAGGACACTCCAAAGAGAAGCCACGATTTTTGGTGGTCCCCCCTCAAAAAGACGTGGTGAAACCGGGGGGGGGGGGGGGACTTGTGGCTGGGCTTCGGGCAGCCGGCGCCCGCTCCAGCGCAGCATCAGCGCCAGCTGCCGCCCCGCGCACGCGATCTCCGAGCCCAGCACCGCCAGGACCTGCGGTCTGCGGTCTCCGTCTCGCGGCGCGTATCGCGGCGGTCTGCAGAAAGCAGACAAAACGAAAAACAACGATATTATCTACCCCCTTTGGTTTGGGGAAACTCGAAAGTGTAGGTTGCTATTTGGCACCCAGCAAAACGGTGCCATGGCGGTGAACTCCAACGAAATGTCCAGCGAGCGAACGAATCACATCTAGCTTTGCGTGGACAATTGCCTCAAGTCACAGGGCTGAGTTGCAACATTCAGGGCATCCACTGTACCCCTTTTGAACAGGTGCTACCCCGCTTGAACAGATGTAAACCAGGCCTTTGGGCACCATCCACTCTGCCACCCTTGATGAGACATCAATCTCCTGCACCAGTTCCGATTCTTTTCTGGTCAAACATGATGGACAAAAATCAAAAGCCAAAGACCTCTTTGAGAGTTCCTGGCTGGTGCTTTGAAACCTGCTCTTTCCCAACCTACTTTTTTGCTTCCTGGTAAACATCGCCACCTGTTTCCTATGCTCATTCCGACTCATCCCCGAAAGCCAGCGCCACCAGCCCGCCTGCTCCGGCTTCCGCCCGGCGGGCTTCTGGCCGTCCAGGCGCCGCGCGAGGCGGGCCAGATCCGCGCACAGCTCCTGGCAGCCACTGCTTTTGTTCCACCATTCTCATGGTCTAAACCAGATGACCAGATTGTGGTCATCTACAGTCATGATATAAATAGTTGCTCATGGTCAGACTAAAGTGTCATGATAAATTCTCACAATCAAGATGGGTCGCCATCTTTTTAAGCCCCGCCAGCTGCAGCTATGGGGTCAATGCTACTTTCCGGGGTTTGGGGCAGTTTTGGGGCAGGCTCCTGGGGGATACTTCGTTTCTCTCACACTTGGGGCAACCAAAATGAAAAATGTCCAGTACGGTCCAGTCTGTTTCCTTTCAGAACAAAAGAAGGGTACCATTTGCCGTTGAAGAAAGACAAGCAAAAAAAAATGTGCAACTCGTGTAGCGCTCTGAAGCGTGCCTACAAAGCACAAGGCCTCCCAACCCTTCAGAACCACTTCAACGCTAGGCCTAGTCACGTCAGCATGATTTAGCTCGGTGTTTGCTTCTTGTTTTTTCGTTCTTGTGTGGACGCTTCACATTGTTTTGAAGTCGACTCACCTGCATTCACCTTTCCAAAAGAGGTGCTTGAAACACGCACAGGAAATATCGGATCCGTAGAATGGCCCGATGCGCGGAGGGTGACAACCGGAGGGTCGTCAAATGGCATACACGTGGCTCCATGGGCTGCTTCCGAAGTGGCTACGTTGTATGAAAGTACTCGCCTGCCTTTGAGCCCACCGGTAGCCGCCTCCATTTGCTCCCGTGAAAACACCCACTGATATCTAAAACTACGGTGAATTAATCCAAGGTTCTTCAGCATGGCATTGGTGTGCAAAAATGAATGCGCCGATCGCATTTTCCAACTATCAACTTAGCACTCGCGTAGAGACTCACGAACCCCCGAGGAACTTTGGGAGTTGCGCACCTTGGACATAGGTCTGGTTTGGTCCTATGACGCAGCTTTTACAAATCCAACCCTCGAATGATCGAGGCCCATACAGTACCCTTCCGCAAATCTATGGGTTTCTCTCTGGAAGGGCACTTTCGACGCCATTTTGGGAGGACAAACCTTTCCTTTTGCGGCCGCAGTCAGAAAAATCCCCATCGTCGGCACATCCCCGCGCTCCTCCATGGTCTCATAGCCCGGTCCGGCGCGGCCCACGTCATTTTCCTCCTACGGCTGCTGGGATGGACGTGAGCCTTTGGAAGCCTGGTCTCCCAACACCCTGTCAGTTTCCATGATTAGCGGTGTGAGCTGGTTTACTCAAGTGAGTTTGTGATGTTTGGCCCAGATCGAATCACTGGATCATTGCACCTGCGACTTTGGCAGGTGCCAAAGTGGGAATGATCCTCAGGTTTGCCGCATGGGCGAATCCTCCAACATTAATTGTCCTTTGAACACACCCAAATAGGCTACTCTCCAAAAAAGGCATTCTGGACCAGCTTGTACTTAAGGCTCCACATGCATGTCTTCTCTGAGCTCGGCAGGTTTCTGCCGATGACTCATTGACCCGGAACGCAGGACCTCGGCATCCCCTCGAGGCAGAGGGGGCTCCCCCGATTGCATTTCTCCAGTTGCAGCCATGATGTTCTTCTCGTTTGGGCGCAGGGCAAGTGGGAAACTATGAATTACAAAAGGAACCCTTTGCACAAGAGGTAGGGATGGATTGTCTTTGACCAGTTCAGCTGAGGCTTCGTTGAGGATGCCAAAAAACAGAGCTGCTCGAACCCCTCCATTTTGTCCCGGATCAAAACAACCGCAAGAAAGACAAACCTCAACAAGACACCACACCAGCATGGCCCGTACACGTGGCAGAAAAGTTTTGGCATGAGGGATCACATGCTCGTCGTTTTACAGATTCCAACATACAAACCACTCTCCCCTCCCACGAAAGAAACCTTAGACCCTTTCCATAAGCGACCCTGTGGTCTGTTGCATGGCAACGTGGGAGGGTAGTCATCGGTTCACATACCCGGTCCGAGCTTCCGCCCTGGTCCCATCCAAAGATGGAGTGGTCCCTTCGCAACCGCATGTGCCAACTTCTGTGCTTCTGATTTGGACCTAAACAAAGAAGCGGTTAGGAGTTGCTGCTCTCTCTTCTCAACCCCACAATCCCTCCCCAGCAAAGAACCCCCCCTGACGATTTTCGGCTCAGTTGCCATAACTTGAACGTGGGTGAACAACGGGCAAATCCTGCCCCCATTTCCGCCCATTTCCAGCTGAGTGCGGAGCTGCGGGGGCTCGGCCTCAGAGCATCGTTTCTCCGGGCGGCTCTCCAATTGTGGTTGATATCCACATGGGATGGATTGAGTCAATTGATGTGCCAAGGCACAGGAGACAGGTCTGAACCCCGTGGCTTCATGTGCCACCTGTATATCTCTTGTTTGTTCTCTGTTACCCACCCACAGGTGCCTGTAAACAATACCTTGCCCGAGGCTCACAGGCTCCTTCTTTCCATCTCCCCAGAAGACCGAGGATATGAAGCCCGTGGACAAAATCCGGCACAAGTTGGTAGGTGGCTTACCCAATTCATAGCGCTTCATCCATCCCTGCTGGTGCATGTTTTTGTCCATCCACCGTACCTTCTTCCGACAATCATGGAAGTTCTAGGGGGATTGGAAGACTACCACTGTCTTAACAACGCCTCCTGGTCAGCGAGCCAAGAGCGAGAACCAGCTTCAAGCCTACTTCCGTCAACCTTTTCGCCAACATAGGTTTGCTGTTGTAGTCCGCCCCTTGATTCAAACAGCAAACCAAAAGGGCTTCTCCAGCATGATTTGTCAGCTTTTCCAACCAAACAACAAGTGCGATTCGATTCTAGTCTCAAAAGAGATCCGAAGCTTGCCCCTTTTCAGGTTGGTGCCAACCTTGCCACCAAGGAAGGACCAACGCCTTAGTTTCAAAATGGGTTAAACACCCCTTCTTAAAGCAACCTCTTTTCTGGGCTCCCCTGCTAAAAGTTGTCCTTTTAGTGGGTCAAAATGCTAAACCCTAAAAAGCTAGACAAAGCTGAGGGGATGGCTTTTTAGCCACAAAGCTTTGAGTCTTGGACCAATATGCAGGTGCCCGTTGTGCCCTTCCCGGGCCCCCCGGCTCCGCTCCTCGCTCTTGTCCTCCTCGCTGCGGTCCTTTCGATGTTCAACGTGGACCCTTTGGGGGGCTGATGCTACCAGGTGGGTATGAAAACAACCATTGGTTTCACCCATCGTTCGTTTTTGACAATAAGATTCCTTGAGATTTGGTATTCTTTGAAGAGAAGGCTCCTGAAAAAATGGGGGAAGTGCAGCTGGAATCATCTCATGTTGCACCCAACAAATTGGCTTCTTGGAGCACCATGTCCCTGGATTCACATTTGCATCGGAGGGCGCAGGGGCCATTCCTCCCTGGCTCAGACTGACGAGGATCGCCGATGTTGTGTGCTGACAATGATGGTTTTTGAGTTGCAATGCAAACTTCCTGAAAAGTGAACCAAGGAACAAAGCACACATTGCTGCTGCTGCTGCTGCTGCCGCCGCCGCCGCCGCCACGGCGGCTGCTGCTGCTGCTGCTGCTGCTGCTGCTGCTGCTGCTGCTGCTGGCATGCACATGCCCCCTGTATCGACAACTGTTCCTGAAAAGAACTCCCCTTGACAAGCGGGAAGGAGAAGCCTCACCAGATTCAATTCTCGCCCTGAGCCCACTGTCAAAAGGTGGTGACGTTGTTCAAAAGATGGCGTTTGGGTGGTTTTCTGAAAAGAAGGATCCCCAGGCAAGCAGCTCCGAGAATGACAAGTTCCATCAATCGACGTTTGTGGCAAAGCTCCAGGGATGTCTGTCTGAGGGCAGAACAAGACTGCTTCCAAAATGGTCCGGCCAAAATAAAAGGAAAGCCAAACCCAGGAAAAACAACATGTTTTCTTTGCTATCTGCATAGGATATGTTGTTGATGACGCCGCGCTACCCTTTTAGACAGACATGCCGTGATTTTAAAAGGTCCCTTCTTCATGAACCTTCCCAACAGCTCCCTGGCCCCCAAATTGTGGCTGTTCCTTCTGCGCTCCCTCCAATCCAAACCCCCAAGCCTGTACCCTCCGAGAGAAAAAACACACACACACACACACGGAAAATAATCATCTCCAAACACACGCCGTGAAAGAAAGACTTAAGACTTAAGACAAGGTCTTCTTCCAAGCCCCGTGGAAAAAAAAGGAACATATTTCCAGTAGTGATAGATTCCCTTTAAAGCCAACAAGGTGAAATATACGACATTCTCATTTTAGCACATGGACGTCTCGGCCATGTTTTTTTGCGGTTTGGTCGAGTTTTTTTCACGCTGTTCGCTGTCCTGGACCGAGCGGGTGTTCTGCCGGAAGTGCTCTTCCGTGGCCAAGTACCGTCCATTGCGCTGCGCCTCCAGGAGCCAAACCTCGGACTGGCCGGTTCCCCTGGTGGGGTTTGGGGGAGCCGTGAAGGGGCAGGGGTTGTTCCCCGTGGTTCTTATGAAATGGCTGTTCACTTCTTGGTTTCGCATTTTCCCTAGTAGTTGTTGTTTTGTCAGTCCGGGGGGGTCCTATCGGCCCAGCACGCGGATCTGGTGGTGTGGAAACCCACACAAAGGAATCGCTGGGAAGCCCCAAATGGGATACCCTCCTGGTTGGCTGGTGTTCAATCAGAATCCAATTAGTTTGTTTATGCAAGTCGTCTCGAAAGAGAAACGACGACAAACCAACCATTAGACTCGCCTTTGTGGTTGTTTGAGAGGGATAAAATGTTGAGTAAAGCAACCATTTGTCGGGTCAGGGTCCCTGCTTTTCACACCCATTCATTCAATGGCAAATGCAGGGATAGTTGCCGCTTTCCCCTCATTTCTGTTTGCTTCCCAAGTCTTGGGAACAACTAACTGAATGGGAAGGGATCATCAGATATGTTCCAAAATATTACGGGGCACCATCCTGAAAAGTGATACGGATTTCTGGAGGGGGGACGCCCTATGAGTCTCCCGAGGACCATTTTTATCCAGTGCACAATTCATAGGCAACTGAAAAGTGCAGCTTACTGGCCTTATGATGCACATGGGTTTTTGTCTAGGAGCCCAAAATTGGTGATTTCCCTTTGCATGCGCTTCAAGCCAACCCATCAACGCTACCGCCAAAAGGTACACTCCATGAACAACACGTAGTACCTAGTTGTGTTGGGCACACTCACCTACTCACCTACTGTCAATGTCAGCTGACGGCACTGGCTCATACAAAGGGTCCTGGTGAACAAAACAGGAAAATTGTCTTTGTTCAGTTTGGGCGAGCCCATGTGCTCACCCAACAATACACTTCAAACAATCATCACTGCTCGTCAAGCTCAGTGATCCTTGGCCCCTCCACGTCCATAGGTCCCGTACCGGATCTGCGTCCACCATGACGATCGCGTAGCGCAGCGTCACCAGGCGCGACACCGCCGCCAACAATTGCAACGCCACGCTGGCCACACCTCGCGAAGGCAAAAACCAAAACCTGAAAAACGGAAAACCGCCTTTTGGTCACAGGCACCCCAAACACGCACCTCCACAAACCCCAACTCACTAAGGGAGTTTGCGACCTCGCCTTTGAAGCATTAATTTTGTCGGGCTGCTTCTTATATCAAGATGTGAGTTCTGCTAACTTGCCCAGACATTTTCGTATCAGTATATCACATCGTCGTGCTTATATCTTCTTATATACGTTTCAAGGTGACGTTAGAGCCGATTGGAGATGCAGAGGGTGCGTAGTCATGATTATCGTCACGACTGTTGGTGATGCAGAGGATGCACGATGATGGTTATCATCCATGATGACAACGGTGATGATGACGATGATGACGATGATGATGATGACGATGATGATGACAATAATCACCACCATGGTGATGATAACATGCTCATCATCACATCATCATTGTTGCGACCTGATTGAAGATGCAGAGGATGCGTAGATGTGATTATCGTCATGACTGCTGGTGATGCTGAGGATGCACGATGATGGTTATCAACCAGGATGACGATGATGATGACGATGATGACGACGATGATGACGACGATGATGATGACACGCTTGTATCATACATAATCGTTGTCGCGCTTGTCTCTTTTATTTATATACGTTTCAAGGGTGACGTTAGAGCCGATTGGAGATGCAGAGGGTGCGTAGTCATGAGTATCATCATGACTGTTGGTGATGCAGAGGATGCACGATGATGGTTATCATCCATGATGATGACGATGATGATGACGATGATGATGATGATGACGATGATGATGACGATGATGATGATAGATGACGATGATGACGACGATGCTGACGACGATGATGATGATGACGTTAGAGCCGATTGGAGATGCAGAGGGTGCGCAGTCATGATTATCATCACGACTGTTGGTGATGCAGAGGATGCACGATGATGGTGATCAACCAGGATGACGATGATGATGACGATGATGACGACGATGATGACGACGATGATGATGATGACGCGCTTGTCAGTATATCACATCATAATCCTTGTCGCGCTTATATCTTCTTATATACGTTTCAAGGGTGACGTTAGAGCCGATTGGAGACGCAGAGGATGCGCAGTCGTGATTATCATCACGACTGTTGGTGATGAAGAGGATGCACGATGATGGTTATCATCCATGATGATGACGATGATGATGACGATGATGATGATGATGATGACGATGATGGTGACGATATGGGTGATGATGACATGCTCATCATCACATCATCATTGTTGCGACCTGATTGAAGATGCAGAGGATGCGTAGATGTGATTACCGTCATGACTGCTGGTGATGCAGAGGATGCACGATGATGGTTATCAACCAGGATGACGATGATGATGACGATGATGACGACGATGATGACGAACATGATGAGGGTGCGTAGTCATGAGTATCATCATGACTGTTGGTGATGCAGAGGATGCACGATGATGGTTATCATCCATGATGATGATGATGACGATGATGATGATGATGATGATGATGCTGACGATGATGATGATAGATGACGATGATGACGACGATGATGATCATGACGTTAGAGCCGATTGGACTGTTGGTGATGCAAAGGATGCATGATGATGGTTATCAACCAGGATGACGATGATGATGACGATGATGATGACGATGATGACGACGATGATGACGACGATGATGATGATGACACGCTTGTCAGTATATCACATCACAATCCTTGTCGTGCTTATATCTTCTTATATACGTTTCAAGGGTGACGTTAGAGCCGATTGGAGATGTAGAGGGTGCGTAGTCGTGATTATCATCACGACTGTTGGTGATGCAGAGGATGCACGATGATGGTTATCATCCATGATGATGACGATGATGACGATGATGATGATGATGACATGCTCATCATCACATCATCATTGTTGCGACCTGATTGAAGATGCAGAGGGTGCGTAGATGTGATTATCGTCATGACTGCTGGTGATGCAGAGGATGCACGATGATGGTTATCAACCAGGATGACGATGACGATTATCATGCAAGTTCATCATCATCATCATCATCATCATCATCGTCACGGTGCTAATGATGATCATCATCATCAGTCCCATTAGAGCCGATTTGACATGCAGAAGATGCTTGGACATTATTATCATGATGACTGCTGGTGATGCTGAGGATGCGTCATGATGATTATCATGTCAGTTCATCATCATCATCATCATCATAAAAGCGGTGCATTTTCACGCGAAAGCAAAGCAAAAATGCACCGCACCCTGGCTACAATAGGGGACCCATAGCGGACCCGACTTGCGGCGAGAAAGCTGGTTGGCTTGCGGGGTGACCGGCGATGAGCCTCTACTGCAAACGCAACGTCACGGTACATGTTCCCAGCAGCAGCAGAATTGTAGGCACTTACAGCGGCGCATTTTCTTACCAGATTCTTACAAAAATGCACCAAGCCAAGGAAAGAAAACGATCGCTCCAGAATGGGCGCAGGTTCTATGGAAGCGTGCCAATCAAAGCGCATTATCACGATGACTGCTGGTGATGTTGAGGATGCGTCATGATGATTATCATGCCAGTTCATCATCATCATCATCATCATCATCATCACGGTGCTAATATGATCATCATCATCAGTCCCATTAGAGACATGATGTTGTCATCCTTATCTTTTTTAAATACGTTTCAAGGGTAGCGTTAGAGCCGATTGGAGATGCAGAGGGTGCGTAGTCATGATTATCATTATGACTGTTGGTGATGCAGAGGATGCACGATGATGGTTATCGTCCATGATGTCAACGGTGATGATGACGATGATGACGATGATGATGATGACGATGATGTCGATGATGATGATGATGACGATAATGACCACCATCAGAGGTGCTAACTTGCCCAGACATTTTCGTATAGAGCCAAAAGCAAACAGTCAGGCAGCTCGTGTACGCGCGGCCTGGCTGCATTTTTGCTGTCTGCGTCCAAAAGTTTTGGCCGGCGGTGTCGGCCGTTTTGGCAGCGGTATGTGAGGAGATTGGAGGTTTTGTGAAGGTTTGTGCGTTTTCCGGAGATTTGACGAGACCTTTTGACGAAAACCTGTGACGATTGGTTTAGAGTCCCATTCAAAACTCTATTTGGAACACACCCAGACACACACACAGACACACACACACACAGACACACAGACACACACACACACAGACACACACACACACAGACACACACAGACACACACACACACAGACACACGCAGACACACACAGACAGACACAGACACAGACACAGACACACACACACACACACACACAGACACACACACACACACAGACACACACACACAGACACACACACACACAGACACACACACACACAAACACACAAACACACACAGACACACACAGACACACACACAGACACACACACACAGACACACACACAGACACACACAGACACACGCAGACGCACACATACACACACAGACACACGCAGACACACGCAGACACACGCAAACACACGCAGACACACGCAGACACACGCAGACACACACACACACACAAACACACACACACACACAGTGTGTGTGTGTGTGTGTGTGTCTGTGTGTGTGTCTACATGTGTTTGTGACACACACACAGACACACACGCAGACCCACACACACAGAGACACACACACACAGACAGACACACACAGACACACACACACAGACACACAAACACACAGAGACACACACAGACACAGACACACACAGACACACACACACACACACACGCAACATTTGGAACACACACCCTGAATCACAATCAACTATGTAACTGCCAACATGTGTGCAGGCGCGTCAACGGTCACTCGTTTCGGGCAAGTTCGGATTCGAGCGTGGCCTGGAAGAATATGTGAACACGGCAGTTCACTCGAGGACAATTCTTGCACTCTTGCACAAGTCCAGACCAGGAAGCGCTCCAAAGCGCTAGTGGACATTTTAGGGCCAAAAAGGAAAAAGGCGGAGGCGGGAATCTTTCCGACTAATCAAGCGTGCCACATGCGGTGGACTTTTATATAGTGCGTACATTGATATTCAGGAATAGCGTTCCTATATTCCAGGCACAAGGTACCTCTGGCTTGCCAATCGAAAACAACAAACATGGTGTGTGTGTGTGTGCTGAGCAACCAACACTGATATTTGTCATTTATGTATAGCGCTCCCACAAGTTATATCCAGTCATGGCCCAACAGTTTGCTCATCTGTAGCTTCGGCTAAAAGCTGTGTTGCAGCAATTGCGTGGGGGAAAAACAAGATTTAACGATGATCACCTTCTGTGTTGCCAGCAAAAGTCAAACCGAAACCAAAAAGTCCCTTTGCTTGTGACTGAGGCTACAAAGCTGAAGTAGCTCATCCAAAGGGGCACGGGCGGACAAATCAATTCCGGAGGGCAATGACCCCCCCTCAAAGGGTTAGGATGTCATTCAGAGAGGTTCTTTTCAAACAAATTTCTGAAGGCGGTCTGAGTCATATTCGGCATTTTGCGGAATCTTTGCCAGTGGGTTGAAGGCAAACTCTCCCCACCCCTCGCCAGAGCAGCTCACCCATCTTTCTTGCATAGCGCCACGCAAGCCACACGTAGGATGGCTCGCTCAGGCAAGTTTCTCGAGACAACTCTTTTGCAGCTGGTGCAGCTTCTGCAAACAGCAATCAAACTAAATCGGCAAACATCCTTTAGCGGTTCAAGGGTTGTTCGAAATGGTGGGGATCCCTGATCCCAATCTGTAATCTATGTACAGCAAGGGAACCTCTAGCATCCGGCATAAGGATTTACAATTGACTTTGAACAAGCCAGTTAAACGCTGGACCAGCCGCCAGCCATTGGGCGACCAAAAGCCACCACGTTTGCAGCGCGGCATGAGGCATGAAACATTCTAGCTGCAAAGGCTAGTGTTGAGTGCAATATGCAAGCTGGGTCACTGCAAGCTGGGCGCCAACTGAAACACTCAGCGCGCAACAAATGGCACGTTACAACTGACATATGCCCTAAAAAATTGGAAACGTCTCCTTGCTTCCTTGTTTGCTTGGCTTGGGGCACTTGCAAAGCGATCTGCAGCGAACAAAAGTCCACTGCATGGTTTTGCGAAACCTACCAAAACTGACGGCCTGAATGGCCTCTCCCGATGGGTGCGGGAAGACTGACTTGCCGGAGCTCATTGTTCCCCAAACAGTCTCTACATTAATCTTAGACCCTCAACTGGAAGAACACCCTCTAGTGTGGCAATTTATTTTCGCAATTCAGGATCTTGTGATTGTTTTGGGGTCCTCAATTGTGGCATCTTTTTTGCCGGAAAAATGCAGAGAAAAACCCTCTGACAAAACACGGGCAAGCAAATCCGGGCAAACCATGAGGAATTTCTGTTGTGAAACGGTCCCCAAACCATCAAATTTAAGATAACTCCTTTACAAAAGGTAAGGGCAAACATTCGTGCAAAGGGGGTTGCCCGCAAGAGGCCCTGAGCCTCTTTCATGTGACTGTGTTGGGTCCTCTTCAGTGTGCAATGTTTGGGGGGTTGCTGATAAAAACAGGCCTTGGCAACACTGAAGTAGAATTGGCAATACTAAATCAGAAATGGCAATGCTAAAGCAAGCGCTTGGAATCTGAGAGCCAACCTTGGCAATACTAAAGAATAGTTGGGAATGCTAGAGTAGGCAATACTAACGTGGAATTGGCAATACTAAAGTAAGTACTTTTCTCCCAGACCCACAGGATTTCTCTGAAGAGGGTCCAGCTGACTGGTTCCACTGTTCCAGGGGAGGGGGCCGTGTAAAGAGGGTCCAACATTAAAAGGTTCTTACGGCAAGAGCAACGAGCTGGGATTAGATCAGGGTGCTCGCGCTGGGCAGGACCATGTTTGGTGGTATTTCCGCACAATCGTGACTTGTGCTTTCGGCTGCGCAGGCTCGCGCACAAGCTCCCTTGTGATGTTCATATGGATTTCAACTAGGCAGGTCGATGGTGTGCTCTCGGCGTGGCGCCGCGCAAAATCCTATCCAGAGATCCTGCGCGCAGCTCTTGCCAAGAGATCCTATCAAGAGATCGTGCGCAGAGATCCTTTAAGGAGCTCCTGCGCAGGACCTGGAAGGATTTCCCAAGTGGTCTTGAACAGGGAACTTGTATATAAATGATCCTCTCCTGGATCCTGAAAATAAATCTTGCCAAGAGACCCTACACAGACATCTTGCGCAGAGATACTGCAAAGATCCTATGTAGAGCCTCCCGTATATATTTTGCGCCGGTCCTTCATAGACAGGATCCTCTCCAGAGGTCTTGCGCAGACCCTGCCACGGATTATATGTGCACAAAAATCTTGCCAAGAGATCCAACCAAGAGATCCTGTCCAGAGATCCTGCGAACAGATCTTGTCAAGAGATCCTTCAAGAGGATCTTGTCAAGACATCCTTCAAGAGGATCTTGCGCAAAGATTCAGCAAAAACAAAGGTGCCTTGCATGTGTCCTTCTAGAGATCCTCCCAAAAAATCTTGCGCAGGACCTGCAAAGATTTCCTTCTCAGAGGTCTTCTAGAGGGTGCGGGATCCTGGCCGGAGATCCTACCAGAAGATCCTACCCATACATCTTGCGCAGGGGTCTTGTAAAGATCCTTATCTTAAAACGAGAGAGGCCTTGCGTGGGACCTGCAAAGATTTCGTGGCAACATCTTGTACAGGATGCTCCCTGCAGATCTCAAACAAAACGCGTGTAGAGGGTATCCTAAGAAGCGATCCTACACAAAGACCTTGTGCAGAGACCCTGCACAAATCCTCCGTCCTGCGTAAAGGTCCACGCAGGACTTGCCAAGGTTTCTTGTTGAGACATGTTGCAAAGGACGCTCTCTACAGCTTGCAGAGGTCCTCTTGGAGATCCTGCGCAGGATCTACTATCATATCAAGACCCTGTCCACAGATCCTGCAAAGATTTTTTCCACAGAGATCTTGTCCAAGAATTACAGTCCTGCTGCTTGTTACCGCGCCTGTTGTTTTTGAGTATCATTCACTTCTCTATTTTCATACGTACCTCCCCCAACACTGTTTGGGGTCCCTTGCCGGTGTAATTATAATGCGGTCCTTTCGGTGGTCATCCTCTGCCTGGGGATTTCGGTCTACCAACTGCACCAACCAAAAATCCCAAACAAGCTCGTTGCCATACACCGCCCGCAGCTGCAAGTGCTCTTGCAGGCAGTTCAGGTGTGCGGCTGCTCCAGGCATGTCAGCATGTATTCTCTCAAAAAGGGACAACACACATACACAGCTTCAAAGATGAATGGGTTCCCCTTGAGATGGGCAGCTGAGCATAGGTCGGTCTGCGGCAAACAAACGGAAAGTGACGCCTTGCTTCCGAAAGCAGGCGATATTAAATAGCTGGCCAAGTTGGCCATGGTGCAGTCGGTGAACAACACTCGTGTCCATTGTACACCCGGACCCCGGCAATGAGCCATTTTCTCAACTTGCATTATGTCGGATAGCGAGTAGAAGGCGGGTGCTCATTCACAGACCTGAAGAGGAACCACTGCGTAATTTGTGGTGAATAATAGTCTTTAGTATGGCTGCCGTGAAGTAGAATGTAATGAAACATCAGGCCCTCACCCCTAGCAATACTCCAACCAGTACTAAACAAACACCAAATCTAAAAATTGCAAAACCAATGCAAAGCCGGTCCATGCTGAACCAATTCAAGGGACAAACCAATTTCTAAGCAGCACTAAACCAACTTCAACCAAAGTCTAAGCCAGGACTACGCCAATACTAAAGCAGTACCGTATAAAACAGACAGGAACAAAAGCGACCGCCAAGGACGGAAGACTACCGGGGAGGCCCGGTCCTCACCCGAACTTGCTTTGGTTGACTTTGCCTTTCTTCTACTCGCGACCAATTATTGCAGAACAAAATGGTCAAAGTGGAAAGGGTCAAATCGCCAGCATCACATCGTCTGAAAAAACCAACTGGGGCACAAGGTCCTGAGGGAAGCTTCGCATTTAAGCTAGTGGCACCTGGTGAGCTGTTCCTTTGAAAGAATCCTCATCAATCGCATTCTTCCGCGCACATTTTGTGCATATAGAAGCCCATTTAGCCAGTTCGTCAAATGCTGACGACATGCTTCCTCACAGCCAGAATTTGCTGGTCGCCGAACAACCGGCATTTCCTGGACAAATTCATCTCCACGCGCCCCTCCTGCTCATCATCGCTCTCCGGTGCGTCGCAGTCGTTTCCTCCGCATCTGCGTCGATAGCGGACCATCCGCTTGAACGTCTCCGGATGCCGCTCAATCCGTTTGAGCAAGGTCTTGAGGTTTGCCTGAGACCCACATGGGAGATAAAATCCCTGCAAGGCCCAGTTTCCATGTGCAGTCCCTTGAGAATAACGGGTTGCTTCCATGTCCCCATCAAACAGATCCCAATGAGTGCTCCGTTTAAAAAAGCAGAAGCAGACACGCACACACAACACAAGCACACACACAAACAATTGAACAAACAACAAGGAAAGGCAAAACAAACAAACCAGCCAATCAATCAAACAAACAAAGAGACAAAACAAAACAAACAAGCAAGCAAGCAAGCAAACAATCAAACAGACAAACAAACAATCACCCAGACAAACAAACAAACGACCAAACAACAACAAAACGAAACAACCAGCCACCAACCAAAAAACCAATCAACCACTCAACCAATCAAAAAACCAAACAAACAAACAAACGAACGAACGAACAAACAAACAAACAAACAAACACACAAAAAACACACAGAGAGCAACACCAACAAAAAAGCAGCCAACCAACCAACCAACCAACCAACCAACCAACCAAGCAAGCAAGCAACCAACCAACCAACCAACCAAAGCAAGCAAGGAGGCAAGCAAAGCAAAGCAAAGCAAAGCAAAGCGAAGCGAAGCGAAGCGAAGCGAGGAGATGCAAGCAAGCAAGCAAGCAAGCAAGCAAGCAAGCAAGCAAGCAAGCAAGCAAGCAAGCAAGCAAGCAAGCAAGCAAGCAAGCAAGCAAGCAAGCAAGCAAGCAAGCAAGCAAGCAAGCAAGCAAGCAAGCAAGCAAGCAAGCAAGCAAGCAAGCAAGCAAGCAAGCAAGCAAGCAAGCAAGCAAGCAAGCAAGCAAGCAAGCAAGCAAGCAAGCAAGCAAGCAAGCAAGCAAGCAAGCAAGCACACAAACAAACAAACCAACAAACCAAGCAAAACAAATCAACACACACACACCACAAAGAGACGGCAGAGAAACACACACAGACAGACAGACAGACAGGCAGGCAGGCAAGCGAGCAAGCCAGCAAGCAAGCAAACAAACCCACAAACAAACAACAAACAACAGAGACAACACAAGCAACACACACACACGCAACACCAACACCACAAGCAACACCAACAACACAGCAAACGCAACACCACAGCTGCCTCGTGCTGCACCGCTGGATCTTGCGGCGCGCTCGAGCTGGGCATGGAAACCGCGGTGAGGAATCGCGTGCCCGCGCTGGGCATGCTCGAGACAGCAATGGACATGGCGAATGAACAGGCACCTGTGCTTGAGAACTGGAATTTCTATCCAGCATCCAACCAGTCCATGACTGCTCTGCGCTTGGGGTTCAACCGCGTGGCCTTGTGAGGTACCATATAACGCTTTCGGGCCGCATCCTTTGCAAAAATAGACGGCGCTGCTGAATTGGTCAGACCGAGTTGAATCCAGTTCCATCTATGTTTCCAGCGCCAAACAAAACTCAACTTATACTCACTTCTTGAGTGGATTTGCAAAAACGGTCCAAACGCTTTGCCACCAAACGATCTTCCTTTAAAGCCCAGGAAGTTGAGGGGCTACTTTTCAGTTTGCTGGTGGCATCGATTTTCACTAATCCTCCGCTGGGGCCGGAGCTTGATCTCAAGTCCAGCGTCTCCAGCAACTGAACCTGGCGAATCTCACTTGCCCCAAGTTGGTTCAACACAAGGCGCTGAAACACCGGAAACTCCATCAGGATTGCCTCCACAAACGGAGGCGAATGCAGGCGAGGTGCAGAGCGGGTTCCGCTGCTAACCTGTTTCCACACACGCCGTCTAGTCGATTGATCGTTTGACCTTACGCAGTCATAACGCCCTTGCAGGGAAGTCCGCGAACGGGCACGCGCAAAAGGAGCTGTGAATGGAGATGGGTTTGGAGAAGGAAGGCAGCTTGAAGGGTGGTACTCGAGTCCGGGACCAACATTCGCCAGGCAGCGGCCTTGAACAAGATTCGTCTGAAGCCCCTTGGAAGTTGGCACTAGTTGGCAGAAAGTTACCAAACATGGGACCTGCCAGCTGCTACGGCGTAGCAGAATTCTTGAAAGGTCCGGCTCGCCTACTTCAACATCCGGACATGTTCGGGCGGAAGGGCTCGAGGCTGGAGAGCTGGAGGCTGCAACTGGGGGTCGGGAATGGAGGCTGGAGGGCTGTGATCCGGGGGAAGGTCTGAACAGATCAAAACGAATCTGTCATATGGGTGTGGCTCAAAAATTGCACAGCTGGGGTTGTTTACGTGAGTGGCCTGGCCAGCCGCTTCAATTAAACAAATGTTTTACACTACTTCCCAGCCCTGAAGCCCCGGCCCGGCCCCCACATACTTAAATGCCGTCACCGTAGTGAAATGGCAATGATTTTTGTAAGGGGTCTGTAATTAATGCGCGACGCGCCACGAATCTCGTTACGGAGGTCTGTGACGGAGCTCCTTGTTGCGCAGGTCTGTAACGGAAAAAGCATTTTCTGGTAGCACAATGTAGTGCAGCACAACCGGGTATGTGATGGCTATTAACGAGGCTTGTAACGAGGCAAAGCAGAGCGCAGGACGCAAAGCGCGCCTCCGCAGCTCTAGCTTCATTGCAGACACTCAACGCAAGCCGAGCTGCGGCAAAAAGCAGGGTCGCTTGTGCCGGGGTTGGGTCTGTAACGAGGTGTATAACGGCTGTGTAACGAGGTCTGCAACGAGGCAAAGCGAAGCGCAGAACGCAAAGCGCGCCTCCGCAGCACCAGCTTGCTTGCAGCTATTCAACGCAAGCCAAGCTGCGGCAAAAAGGGGGGTCGCTGGCCCGGGCTGGGGTTGGGTCTGCAACGAGGTATGTGACGGCTATGCAACGAGGTCTGTAGCGAGGCAAAGCAAAGCACAGTACGCAAAGCGCCTCCGCAGCTCCAGCTTGATTGCAGCTATTCAACGCAAGCTAGCTGCGGCAAAAAGAGGGTAGTCACGTCACTGGGTTTGTTTATCTGAGGTGTGTAACGAGGGTCTGTAACGAGGGTGTGTAGCGAGGGGTGCGTAACGAGGGGTGTGTAACGAGCCAGCTGGTCTTGTTGCAGAGGTCTGTAACGAGGTCGGTAACGAATATCCGCCGCGGCTCTGTTACAGACCCCTCAAAAACATTCACTGCCAAATTTACTTTGAAAGCTGGTCCATTTGCCACTCAGTAACTGGGCCCAGGATCGGCTGATTTCCATGAGACTCTTATCCTGAATACGTCTCCGGCTGATAGCCCGCTGGGCAACAAGCAGTTTTCTGGGACCTTGCAACCCTTGTGCTAAGTACCAGTGAACGCATTGCTGAGGACCTTCTTGGAGTGGGCTTGAAGGGAAACCCGAAGGAACACTGCTATGTGGGGCAGCTCCACAGTTTGCCACATACCCGCATGGTGAGCCTCTCTTTTCCAGTCGAATCGCCACGACATCGCAGCTGTGGAGCTCAGGGAAGAGCAACAAACAAGACAATGGGAACGTAGGATTGACAAGGGTGTCTATCGAAAACAGGAGAATCCCTACAACAGGTGATGTATGCTTGGTTCTCTTTGGAAGCACCCAACAACTGGGTGTCTTGAACAAAACACACCTATAAATTATAAACCCTTGGTTGATCAATAGGGGTGCCCCATGTTGGGAAAACTGAATATTGCATGCCCATTATCAGTGTAGGGTTCCACGTTTGCAAACCCCAGGGCGCAACTTTAGTTTTGGTCGAAGGATCAAACATTGTAGGCTCATGGCATTTTGAAGGGCTTCAAAAGCCAAATGCAAACAACGACTTTTGGACTTCCACGTGCCCACCCGTTTGGGTCACGCAGCGACCCCGCCTCGAAGTCAAGATCGGCCCTGGCGCTAACCAGGTGCCATTTCGGCAAAACTGATTGAACGCTTCGGAGCCCGCTTCGGGCCTCCCGTCCGTGGACGCCCCACAGATTCCGCAAACGAGTGCCCTCAGATTAATCTTCGTCTAGCGTCACAGAAACTGATTCTGCGGGGCAGCTGGAAATTATGGAGGGCGCCAACAAAAATCACCCAAACACTAGGAATACCAGTCCATCTCCTAGGCAGGCTTGTTTTGCTTCCCCAGTCGTAGGTGAGCAATGCTACTTCTTCAAGGCAAGGAAAGGAATGCAAACTTGCAAACCCTTTGTGGTTGCAAAGGGAACCACAATCAAATGTTGCTAGAATCCCAAAACTGACACTGGATCCCTAGGTTAAAAAAGAAAGAAAGAACAAATTTCGCTCGTTTTGCCCGTCAATGGACATCGCGCGCCATCGGAAGACATGACCAGCGCCCAGGCTGATAGCCGATCCGAATGCTCCGCACAACTTCTGGTCAGGACAATCACTTCGAATTGGCAAGCAAAAGGTGGTCTTTCAATAGGTTGGCCATAAGGGCTTAATCATGAGGTTCAGGCTCCCAAATCCGTTTCCTAAAACAAAGATCACTTTAATCATTTCCCCACATAAAGGAAACCCACTTTGAGTTGGAAATACAGGGAACCTGCTTCTTGCGCCTTGGGGTTTGTGGTTGGACGTGGTTGATCCGCTTGCTCGAGGTAAAGTTCCGCGCGAATCTGGGACCCCGAAGCCCCCCACCGAGCCCGAGGATGGTCCTTCCACCTTTGGGTCAAGCTTGCAATACCCCGAAAGGCGCACTTGTGCATGTGTCAAAATAGGGAACCCTCCAAAAACGGGTACCCTCAACAAAAACAGGCCCACTTTTCAGACCTTCAAACTCTCCGAAGTCTAAAATGGACAGCCCTGAGCCGAACCAAATGTTAAGCGCACCTTCTTCTAGTTCAGGTCCTTACCACACGAATCGAATTCTCCGGGCCCCCCCCCTTTGGGTCTGGGTCAAAAATGGGTACCCCAAATGGAACCCTAGTAAGTGGAAACAAGGACTAAAACCTGCGGTTTTCTGGTGGTTTACTTTTGACCCGTACCCATTTGTCTGCGGCCCCGGAAGGTCGCGTGCGCAGCGCGCGCGCCTCTCCACCAGGGCCTCCACCTTGGAGGGGTCGAAGATCGGAAGCGCCAGGCGCAGGGCGTCGAAGGTGCTGGGCAGACTGAAGACGCTGCCCACCTGGCGAATCGAATCGATGCTTCGCAATTGGTTCCGAGTAGGTCCCACGTACAAACAAGAACCAGGGGTCCAAATTTCACGTCCAATCCAGGGCAACCTGAGCAGGACGGGCTGGCATTGCATGGCGGAAAGTGCCCAAAGACGAAAACAAGCAAAGGACGGCCTTTGCTGCTGAAAATGGGGTTCAAATTGGCTAAAATCGGACAAACTTGCACAAACCAAAGGACCCTCTCAGGGTTCGATAATTCAATGGCAACAAACAACGGCAACCCCTGTTGCGACCCCAGCTTCATGTTGAAGGGGGTGCAAGTGGGTTGACCATTTTGGTCACCAAACCGGTAACATCTAAATATCTGGAAATGCTACCACAATTCCAAAACCTGAACTAAGGGAACCACAGAGTGGCTTTTCGCTCCTTTTGCCACAGGGCCAGCCCGCGCCTGGCCATCTCGGACCAAGGGGTTGAGGCGATCGCCGTAGGTGAAGGGTGTCAAGGACTTGGGGATCAGCATGGCGATGCCTGTCGAAACGACGCGAGAGGTTCAGCGAGGCAAGGATGCATGCGAGGCGCCTCATGAAGGTTGGGCTAGGGATGCGTCCAATACTTGGCTTGCTGTTGGCTTCCCTGCCACCATACAGTTTTGGAAACCGTCATGATCCTTTTCCGAAGCATTCTTGTTCTTTGGTTGGCTCGAGGGGAATCAGTTTTCTGAGTGCTCCAGGACTCCGGAAGCGGCCTAGCGGCCTTGCTTTGTTTTCCAGGTCGACAGACCCGGTTGATCTTGCGAGTTCTGCGCTCTGCGCCTGCCAGGGAGGAGGCGCTCTGCGCCAGCTGCAGCCCCAGCAGCAGCTCGCAGCCGAAGCGCAGCGCCAGCAGCGCGCTGCACCTCTCGAAGCGCGAGGGACGGAATTGTGGGAGAACCGGCCCGATGGTTTGGTTGTGAATTCAGCGGTAAACCTGCGTTCAGCGGGGCTTACTGGGAGTTTAGCCCTACTATTTACAAACAAACATAAATTCCAAGTGGGCGGGCTTTCCCAATAAAAAGTGGACCCTTGGCGCCCTGTTGGGAAAATAGATGCATGTATTCCAGCTGGCAAAAATGAAGCAAGCTGAAACCAGTGGGGCCCGTGGGGCCCGGTTGTGTACCAACCCGAACTGGACTCGGTCTCGAATGTGGATTGGGCCGAAGCTCTGAGAAAGCAAAAGCGAAGAAGCTGAAGCACAGAAACAAAACGGCACTGAAACAAAACACAAACAAGAAATGACACACAGGAAGAACTAGCACACATTCATGAAACCACGTGCCGATGCTCGTGTGGACATGCGAGGAAGACAGAGCGATTCCGATGATCAAATGTGAAACAAATAAGAGCACCAAAGACACGAGGTGTGAAACCCACGCCATCTATGTTCAAGAAAATTATCAAATAAGGACACTTGTAGCCGTGTGGAAGGCTCATACCGAGTGGACAAAATGACTTGCTTAGCATGGGCAGGCCCTTGGGAAAATTGGGGCGCACCATGTCCTCCTCACACGAACAATGGATTACTTGCTTGGTCTTGCTATCTGTGCTGCGCAGTCACCGGCGACATCGCGTGAATCGCGTGACACTGGCAGGAAGGACAAGCCAAAGGCCGAAGGCCGCAAACTTGCAAACTGAAGTGTGCAAACGTGAGGCGACTGTGCCCCGACGATAACACAACCCTTGCGGGAAGTGACCAAAAATGACAAGAGTGCCACTTGTGTGGCTTCACGTTGCCACAAGAGAACATGCCGCTGGGCGCGCATGCACAGTCCACACGTAATCCTAAAGCAGAGCCAGTATAAATTGCACACCACTTGCCCGGTTATTCACCACCCAACCCGCTCCCGTTCCACCTAAGTCGCAATCAAACCCGGTATTTGAATGTCTTCCCAACACCATATCAAGGATCGAAGGGCGGCTGCTTCTGTTTCTGTTTGGGACTGTGCCTTACGAATCTTCACTCCGTGTTTGATTGTGGCTCCAGTTTTCGATTTATTTCATCACGAGCCGCACGCGCTCGCCCATGCGGCACCTCAGCAGCTTGAAGATCACCCGCGTTGATGTGCGGCCGAGTGCCTGCAGCACTGGCTCTAGGTACCTGGCTCTGGCATGGGAGACCAACGTCGAAGGGGTTTTCACAACACGTGGGCAACAAAAAACCAACCCCCGTTCTGAAGTTCTGGGGGTGGCAAAATATCAATCATGACTCATGACCATTGCGGAACCAGTGGTAGCCCATACGGGTCTTGGGATACTATATAAATCATTGTCATTTAGTACGTGCAAGGTGGAACCCGTTTGTTGGAACAAGTTTAGAGTGCCCTGGGAACCTTCGTCGCTCAGCGTTTTTTCTCCCTTGGCGTGGCAGGCCGGTCCTCAGCAAAAAAGAGAACCTGCATGGAGCCCAGTGGTGCTTCCACGGCAACTTGAGAACCTTCATCGGGAACCCCAGGCAGAAAATCCTCTGAAGGAGCTTCAACCCTCCAGGTTTGTTACTGTTCAGTGGCCATGGAAAGAAAGGATATGCGGGATATGTGGGTGGGCTTGTGTGTGTGGTGCCCCTTCCAAAGCAGGCAATTACCACTGGACAACCGAGACTGAGGACTCCTTGCTGGTTCCCTGGTAGCAACATGGCAAAGGAGGTTGGACGTTGCAAACAAAGCGAGATCTCTCAAAAAGTCGGAGCCCACTTCTGGGAAGTACCAGTATGTTCCTAAAAGCGTAGCTCCCGCTTTGTGGACACACGCTTACACTTTGTCACTTCAAGCCAGCATGTGAACTGGATGAACTGGATGGCAACCAAATAGCTCTCTAATGTCAAATGTGTTTGGTCGTTTGTGGTTTGCAGACTGTCGAGGCACCCTGGAATGCCCACTGACAAGTCAATGGCCTACTCGTTCCAACTGGTTCTGTCAGCACCGCCAAAGTCGGTCAATCAAATTGCGGCCCAACAAAACAATTGCCGCAACCGCGGCTTCGGGTGACTCTGGGCTTCAATATTTGGCACAAGTATTGAGACCAATAGCCTTGGACATAGCTCAGTCCTCTCTCAAGTCCAAAGCGCCCATGTTCTCTCAATACCCATGGCAATTTGAAGGATACCCTAAACATCCAACCACTTTCAGGGACGCTGATCTACGAGATTTCGCTCCCTCGAGTTTCCCAAGGCAAGCCAGAGTCGATATGGAAAGGGCCTCGAGCGAAAGGGCTCACGCCGTTTGACTTCAAAGGGCCAGAGATCGACATTCGAGGGATATCAAGGGATGGGGAGCCCTGAAGAACTCGAACCAAAGGTATGGGAATTCCGATGTCCAGATCGGGGAGGACCGACCGAAGGCCAGCCATGAGAACTTACGTGTCAAACGGAGTTGGACCTGTACAAATATGTTGTGTGCTCTCTCGAGTTTTTACCCAAACCCCCAAGTATCCTTGCGCAGACCTGGATGCGTGGTGACCTGCTGATGTCGATCCTACATTGATAAATTTGGCGGACAAGGGGCCTGCGCCCCGGCCTGTAAATCCTGGGTTTCCAGCTCACCGAACTTCCGTCTTGCAACCCTCACCCACCTGGCTGGTTGCTGCAGGTACTGCGCGTAGCGAGACATGTCCTAAGCAAACTTCAAGCGCACAAACGGGCGTTAATTCTCATGTCGACTCTTTGGTTCAGGTCCATCAGCCACTGTTGAGGCGGGTCCCTACAAAAATCCATGCTGCCAAGTGTATGTGTGAACCTGCGTAGCGAACAATCCTGGGTTGCTCCAAAGACTCTGGCACGAGGTTCTTCAAAAATGGCTGCTAAGGATGGAACCAAGTGTCTGGTCAACTTTCGCCGCGTGAGCTACAGGCAATACCATGCGTTCTGGTCTGGAGTTTAATTGAAATTCTGGAAAGTCATGTCCTCCCCATGCTACCCATAAACTACCAAGAATGTTATGAGTTGCTCATGTCAGCAGCGTCTAAAACCTAGTAACCTTTGCATTCTTTCCATCCCCAGGAAAAAAGGGGTTTGTGTGTGCTCCTCTTGTGCTTCCAAATCGGGAGCATCAGATGCTGCTGTCAGGCATGGTGCAAACCTGCATCAAAGGGGGCTATCATGGACGTGGGTGCAGAAAGAGGGTCCCTAAAGCTTGTGGAAAGGAATCCACCAGCATTGCACCGTTGGACAAATAATTAAAGGGGCTTCATGAAGCAGCACACGAACCTGAAATAAGGAATCCGCAAAAGACCTTCATGAGGCGCAGGCTTCTACCCCGAGCCGTAAACTCGCATTGGTGAACTTATGCGTTCTCTGTGTGTGCATGCGTTCCCTTCCCATGTTGTTCAGTGTGGTTCCACTTCCACCACACCACCATCCCTAGGAGAACATGGTGTGTAGCAGCGGTCCTATACGCCCCTTCCCCCCCCCCAAACAAAGGAGGTTTCAGGCACGGGAGAGCACCCCAGAAAGCTTTAAATCACTTTAACACTGGGGATACCAGCAAAGCCTAAACACAAAGTATGACCTTTTTTTACTTGGGCTCTGGGAGAGTCCAGGGGAAGCTCTAAAGCTTTTTAATGCTACCCCTGGACACCCTCAGAGACCAAGTACGGAAGATCAATAGATCAGTTTGCTGGCCTTTGCTGGTATTCCCAAAAGAGCTTTAAAGTGAATTTAAGCACCCCGGACTTACATTTGCTCAAACATGGCACCCCCGCAAAGGCACGTGGAAGTGACAACGTCTTTACGGGCTGAACCCAATGCATTTGTCCATGTTTTTTTGAAGTTCAGGGCACATATCACAAGAATTGCTACAATGGTCGACATTTTGCACGCAGTGCACCATGTATGATATCCATATATATATATATATATGATATGCATAGGTCATATATGACTTCTTCTTGAGGATGGTGGCTTGAAGGTAGTGGCACCATCCTAAAATGCTGGTTATCAACCTGCTCTTCAGAACCTGTGCGTCAGACTGAAGACCTGGCGCCTCCCACAAACAACTCCCGCAATGAGGCCGAAAGCTGGGGCTGCGAGCCATGATTGCAGAGCCTTGGCCCTTGTCCTGGGGCAATGGGCTCTCCGAAAGGTGGCCGGAAAGGGGTCAAGGGGTTTTGCTTTTGTGATATTTTTATATTACGTGGTTGTGTCACCAAGCATGGTGTGAATTACAAAAACTTACCGTTTGACGCATGCAGTCTCCGAATGTCTCCCCCATGCCCGGTGGGACATAGCAAGTGCTTACTCGACAATTGTTGCACCATCGGTCACCATCGTCGTGCAAGGACCGCAATTTCTTTGTGCATAAGAGGGACAGGGCTCATGTGAATACTCTCATTTGGGGACAGGACCCATGTGAATACTCTCATTTGGGGACAGGGTCCATGTGAATACGTAACAATATTGAACTTATTCACCTTCAGCCTGGTCTGTTTGGGAAATATGTGGGACCCAACAGTTGAGCCTCCTCGCCCCAAGCCCTTGAGCAAACATCCCTCCACATTGCTGCAAACATCGCGAGCAATTGTGCCCCCACGCGTCGAAACGTAATAACAATGTCAAGAGTCTTGTGCCCTTCGAGCACCTGATACCAAACACATGGCCGCTGCAGAGTTTACCAAACGCAAATGCGAGACTCGCGAGACTCCCTGATAGTGGTGTAAACCATTTGCGTAACTTCTACTGGAGTCAGTTTTTCTTGGGGTCAAGTTGCCAGAATTGCGGGACAAAGACTGTGTTCGGCGCGGTGAAGCAAATGACCACGTATAAGACAGACTAATCTTGAGAGCGCCTTTGTGCATCCTCTGCCCACCTCCTTAGTAGACTGACCGAAACAAAGTCCAAACTGATTGTGCCACAGAATGATATTCCGCATTGCCATAGGCCTGGGCAAATCGCTATAATCACAAACAGGAAATGACGTCTTACAATTTGTGCAGATAGGCATTACGAACCGTAACGGGGGAAGTGAGACGTGACAACAACGCTGTCAACAAACTCTACAGGGGCTGGGTCCTGCTCAGTTCTCTTGAAGCAAAGAAGGGGCCCAACCAAAGAAAAAGGTGGGGAGGGGAAGGGGAAGATGGATGCCATAACCTGGACAACAAATGACAGAGGTTCTTATAGTATCAGCCCAATCATTGCATCAGCAACGGAAACAACTACACAGGCGACTTGTGCAACATGCCAGATCCCTTTCGTGTCCTCCACGCTGGCTCTGCTTATCTCGCTTGTGGTTACAGCGCTGGGCACTTCCTGCAATGAAACACAGCGAAAGCACACCCGCAACAAGGGTCACAACCGGAAAACAACCACAAAAACACAAACAAGCAAACACACACACACAATGGCAACAGAACCATGTTTTTTAGGGTTGTTCCCCTGATTCGCATGGTCTTCCAGATTAATCCGAAACGCACAAAAAGCAGCTGCCTGGTGTAGATGGCTAGCAAGCCATGAGTGTTTGTTCCGCTTGAGTCGACCGTGCCGTTATGTTTCCGTCCAAACCAGTTTTACTCGCTCAAAACTTGTATCTGGCTTCCCTGAAAAGAGACGACGCCCGCTTCTCGAGCATTCAGTATGCACTTAGGTTCCAATTTTGCAAGAGGGAGCGGATGTGTGCTCGAGTTGTATCGAGCAAATGGGCTGTTGCCTTGTTCTGCGTTTTGGTGCAAAATCCAAGCCATGGTCAAAAACAATTGTGGGTCACGGTCATGGATCCCTTAATAGGAACCTGTACATGGGTTGTCTACAACCCGTACTCAAAAGTTATTAAATTCCTACCCCCAAGTAAGCAACCGCCCGAAAAGGGCGCCGAGGCACTTGGCACCCGATCTAAGGGAAACACAAAGGCGAAACAAACCGTTTTCTGGCTCCTCTATTGCGAGTTTCCGTTCCTTCAAGCTCCAAACCGCTTTGGCTCCTCTGCACGCGCGTGGGCGTGGTGCTGGTCGTGCCCTGAGACCTCCAAGCTGTCACGGAGGCGTCGCATCACGCCCTTGGCTGATCGAGGCGATTGGCGCAGTTGAAATTTCTGTGGCGCCATGCTAACTTTTATCGTTTTGAGGGGATCCCCCCGGTATTGCAGAAACTGGGAGCTGGCCTAGGTTGGCCCAGCGCAAGAGTGGTTCCTTTGTGTATCTGAGACAACCAAGGCTTGTTGTTCAACAGTGGTTCAGGTGTGTTTCCGGGTGGAAAGAGACAATCTGGGGAGGAGAGGCAGAAACAAACTTTCCGAAAAAAATGGCTTCAGTGATCGGAAACTAACGTCGGGAGATAGATTCTTGATAGGCGGTAGCGACGACTTGCTTCTTCAGCATCCGCCGGCTTCCGACCGCGGAGGTTGCACCGGTCGTCCTTCACGGAGACCCGCATCCCTCACTTGCGCGGGCAAAGAGAAGCCATGCGGGTTTTGACAGGCACTGTGCCTTGCAGGCTAAGACACTGACACTGCTGCAAGTTTGCCCAGGGCGATCCACCTCGTTCTTTCTTTTTTCGAAAGACCAACTTCATTGCTTCTGTCTTTTGTCTGGGAGAGCCCTCGTTCTCTTGTTCCTCTCTGCGTCTCGCTTCTTCTTCTTCTTCTTCTTCTTCTTCTTCTTCTTCTTCTTCCCGCTCGCTCTTTCTGAATCTCTAAGCCCCCAGCGCGCCAGCGGTTGGACTGCTGCAGCTGCGAGGCTGTCGTCTCCACCGCCCGCAGGGAGGGCGGTAGGGACCCGCGACAGTTCTCGCAGTGGCATGCGACCACGTTGATGCCGCAGTCCTACGTGGCCGCGGCGCCGACTTGGTTCTCTACGTTTCCCTCCCCGGGCCGCTTGGTCGGCCTGGCGCTGCTAGGCCGCGCCTGTGCCGGCCGGCCAGCTCTGCGAAGTACCAGGAGAGACTTCGGCTGAGCGACGCAAGGCCTTACTCTGATATGAGCACCGCGCGCGGCCCAAAGATAGCACATACGCAAATTTGCCAGCAAGAAACTTCTAGCTTCGCATGGAAGAGTTCACAGTGTTACGGGGCGCTGCGCGTTGGGCAGGTGCCCAGCAGGCGATTGATGTGGACGTCGCTCAACTCAGGAGTTTGTTGCTCGATTGCAGCTGTTATCTTTCGTAAACCCAAACTGTCAGCCTAGCCCTCTGCAAGCTTGCTCGGGCGGCAAGGCGCCACGTTGCCTGCACGTCTTCCAAGGCCACCCTCCATAGCACATAAACTCATTCAACGGTAGCTTGCGCAGATAGATCGCTGCAAAAGATAGATACACATGCGAAAAGATAGCTCTTGCAGATAGCTTGCAGAAGGACAGACGGCCTATGCGAAAAGATATCGTACGCAGAGAGCTAACGCACAAATAATGAGGAAGAAAGAATTAACGCGTGCAAGAAGGCAGGCGTCTGGAAAGGAAACAGAAATGGTGAAAAGAGAAAGATAAAGAGAAAGAGAGAAAGAGAGAAGAAGAGAAAGAGAGAAAGAGAGAAAGAGAAAGAGAACGAGAAAGAAAGAGAGAAAGAGAGAAAGAGAGAAAAAACGAGAAAGAAAGAAAGAAAGAAAGAAAGAAAGAGAGAAAGAGAGAAAGAGAGAAAGAGAGAAAGAGAGAAAGAGAGAAAGAGAGAAAGAGAGAAAGAGAGAAAGAGAGAAACAGAGAAAGAGAGAAAGAGAGAAAGAGCGAAAGAGAGAAACAGAGAAAGAGAGAAAGAGAAAGAGAACGAGAAAGAGAGAAAGAGAAGGTGAAAGAAAAGAAAGACAACTATATTTGTTAGATTGTTTAGAAACTTCCGGCCACCGGCTCCGCCGGCTGCGTGTTAAATGCACCCACTAATTTTAAACTTTCATGTTTCCCAGGCCCCCGGATGCCCAACACCTATACAGAATACGCCACTTCTAAACCAATACTAAACCGTCTGAGCAGGGGGGGTATTCCAGCACATTAAAAAACACAACTCATATTTACAATAAGACCAAACCGAAATATGTTTTGCGCCTTGTACTTTTGAATCAAAAAAAGAAACAACCACCTTGAACGAGCTTATCTAAATTCGCTTCGGTACTCAGAGAATTTGGATATTGACATTGGCTAATGGAACCACTCTATCAGCATATCTCAAAGTGTTGTTGTTGATCACTGAAATGGCATTGCATAGTTCAATCATTTGTAAGTAGTGTCGTAATAGTTTAAATAAGCGCTGAAAACAACACAAATGTGAGTTGAGACAAATGTCCGGCCAGGCAGGGGTGATGAGGATGTCATAAACATAATCGATGCGGTGCACTCAGTTGATGTGTAAATAGGTGCAGGCGAGTGCCCGTGGAAATACATTAAAGGGTTGATACTCAATAAGATGATATTATTGTGAACGTCTGTACACACACGCAAAACATGAAACGGTACCTGCCTACTATAATTGGAAATACCATTATCAGATTAGGAGAGTTGCTTCAACAACTCGCGTGTGCATTGAGATCTGTTCAAGTCCATTTAATTGCACGTCTGTAGTAGTCTATATGTGCATCCTTAGTTTGTTGATGTGACTGTACTGACATGCATGTATGCGCACACATACGAGTGTGACTGCGAATAGGGAATTCGATTGAAATGTCATACCTCATGCAGTACTTGGTATGTGTTTGTGCCTAAAGTCGGTGAGAATTTTGATAAGTCAGTATTGTTGGATGCATATATATATATATATGGAATGATCCATTGAAACCACGTACCGAAACAGCTATGCTACCATATATAGCCTAGTGAAACACCAAGGACCATGAATGATGCATCAGTCGAACTATATTGTTTGATCGTCGTGTCCGTGTCTGTGTCTGTGCGTTGGTACACGGGTACCTTCTTCAGGTTTAACCGGTTGGAAGCCAAAACGACACTTCAGAGTGCCGGTGGCTTGGATTGGTGGCTTGGTGGTTAAGGGAAGTCTCCCATTTACCCCCCACAAGAACCAGGAGTTCAAATCCCAACCAAAGGGTGCCTGACCTATGTCCCAATTGCGCACCCAAAACCGCCGCAAATTCATCCAAGAGGCCAAACCCCCATCCATGGAGATGGCGTCCTTAGCCGATCACCACTAAGGAAACCAAAGGACCCACAAAGAACAAGTCCTGTCCAAGAGGCGAGCAGGAAAATCTACGTTTAGTGTGCTTGGCTAGCTTTCTGTAGAATGTATCAGGTGTTTGTGGCTCTACAACCTGCTTTGATGAGAGAACCTCTCCGGAAAGTAGGGAAGTCACAATGTGGTTGTGCAAACTTTCTTCAGAGTTGCGCAGAAAATGGTGTTCCTCGAGAGATCTCCCCCAATGTGTAGATCTGGTCCGTTTTCCCTTCTAGTGGTTCTTAGCTTCCCAAAGTCTTGCTTGACGGGGTTGGCTGCCATAACCATTCTGGGGGTGGGAGGGAAGTGGAAATTGTGACTGTGTCACGTACAAGTGATCCAGATCCGCCTTCCTTGAGCTGCGCCTCTTTTCAATCAAGGGCTTTAATCCAGGGCTCCCGGACCAGGTCTTGCCCGGCTGCACGGCTTTGCTAATGCGCCTTTGGCGTTTAACGAGACAAATTGCAACAATGGATGTGAGGGATCCCGCAGGAGCCTTTGGTGAGCTGGTTTACTCAAGTGAGTTTGTTCTGTTTGGCCCAAATCGATGGATCATTGCGCCTGCGACCTTGGCAGGTGCCAAAATGAGAATGATCCTCAGGTTTGCCGCATGGGCGAACCCTGCGTGAGCACCTCAAAGATCCACATGCATGTCTTTTCTGAGCTCGGAAGGGTTCTGCCGATGACTGACTCATTGACATGGAACGCAGGATCTCAGCATCCCCTCAAGGGGGAGGGGGCTCCCCCAATTCCATTTTTCTAGTTGCAGCCATGATTTGCTTGTTGTTTGGGCGCAGTGCCTTAAATATGGCCGTACTTGTTTTTACACACTCCTTACTGTTCTGAAGGGGATACTGCATGTTTGGTCCAAGGGGCAGCTGTGGCTGTAGTATGCAACCAACATGAGACGATCAATTTGGGGAGGGGGGTCACAGATCCTGCCCATTTGGCCAGACACGGGTTGGGGGCAGCTCCAAAGTTCTGTCTTGGTTTTGTTCCAGGACATCCGCCCTTCTTTCAAGGCAATCCACCCGTTGAACCAACGCAAAATATGATGTTGCACTGACCCCGAAGATGATGAACGCAGTTGTGATGCTATAGACGTCTCAAAACGCCACTTTAGGCCAGCGAGAGAAGCCCCTGCCTGGCCCTAATATTGAGACACCTCACAATATTGAGACACCTCACAAAGCCCGGAACACAAAATTACAAATCTTGTCCTTAAGAAACATGGAGAAAATTAGGAGGGCTCCCAGGTTGGGTCATGGAACAAAAGTCCTGGCCGTGGCCTCATCAAAGGCCTGGGTGACCACAACCCCTCAGGACCCCAACAGCTGTGGTAGAGCAGCCGTCTCGCCCCCCTTTTCTTTTGCCGCCCGACACCCGAGAGTCACGGGCCCGCCGTGTGGAAAATGTGCCCCCCCCTTGTCCCCAAACCAACAGTAGACTATCAATACGATTTCAGTGCCTCACATGAGTGACAGCCCATAGTCAGCAGGTCCCCAACAATTGGGGCTTGAAAAAAAGCACATCTTCTCATGGCCATTTCGGGCTTTGCGTTGCCCTATATCATCCCCTTTGCCTTTGTAGACTCATATTTCCAGCTGCCAAGCGTCTCTTGAAAGCCCTACGGTGCCAATGTCATTCTGCTCCCGCCACCTGCAGTGAGATCAGCACCAGCTGTTTGCAACATCCACATGTCCCGCCGGGTGGTATGAGGAGTTGAGACAAGCCCAAACTATCCAAAATTAGTCGTTGAAATAAGGGAACGTAATGGAAGATCAGGTTCCCAGATTTGACATCAAGGGGAAAAGAAACTTTGAAACAAACATTTCCCGTTGGTAAATTGCAACATGCGGCTGGGAATCTCCACCATGGTTGTCTAAATTCCGCATGGAACACATGGCCACACCTTTTCCCAATTTCACCACACACACACACACAAACCTCCGTCTACACACACATGAAATACGTTGCTACCCACAATACATCACAACGGAGGGTGGGACATGTGAAACGGCCATTTGGGTATGGGTCAAAATCAAACCACCAGGGGACCGCAGGTTTTAGTCCTTGGTCCCATTTACCAGGGTTCCATTTTGGGTACCTATTTTTGACCCACTCCCATTTGGATGCTCCAACCCCCCCTTTTCGGCGGCCTGGTCTGCGCGTCCAGCAGCAGGGCGTTCTGCTGCACGCAGGCCAAGGCCAGGCAACGGAAGGCCTGCGAAGTGGGTGTTTTCCACGGGTCAAAACGGGAAATCCGGCGAAAGGGCAAACACAAACAAGGAAACCCGACGAAAGAACGTAAAAAGGGCAAAAAGGGAAGCCCCGTTTAGGAAACACAAAAGAAACCTGCAGGAAAAAGGGAAACGGTTGAAAATAGAGGCAACCCCACACAAATGTGTAGAAACCATGGCAAAATGGGCTTAAACATATATGACCACGGCCCCATGGGTTAAAGAGTCTGTCAGTGCTTGCGACCCTCATGTAGGAACCACACCTTCTTCTTGCACCCAAGCAGGCATGCAACCATTTTTATGTGCACATGTTTATATTATATATATTTTTACACGTAGATACGCAAAATGTAAGTGATCACGTTCCTGAGGTGTGGGATGCGTCAAGGGATCCCGAATTGAAAGGTGGTCCTAAGCGTTTGAGTATCCATTTCACAAAACTACTGGATTGGGTCTCAAGCTATTTCTTTGCTCGGCATTGCCCCTCTCTTCAATCTTATTGCTAAGGTAGGGGGATCGTTCGAACCAACTTGAATCTACATGCTGCCCACAAAAGGAAGCCACACAACCAACAAAAGTGCCCACAAGGGTAAACAAAGAACGAACAATCATATTTGCTGTGATCATGACAGAACTTAGCTTCAAAACACCCCCCCAAACCCATTCCAATGGTTGATCCAAAACCAGCCAAAGGGAAATAGCAGTACCCAACACAAAGGGGACCCACGCTCAGATTCTGCCGAGGCACCAGCTCGTGCTGCAGCATCTGCCGCAGTTCTTGCAGCTTGGGCACGGAGCAGAGCAGCCTTGGCGAAGGCAACGGCCCCAAATCCGTGGAAAACATCGTCCCTGCTGTAGTGCGATGTGCTGTCTGGGGTGTGTCACAGGAAAACGGGATCGTTGATTTTGCTGTAGGTGTTTTGTAAGAATAGATTGCACCAGTGTAATGATCTTAACCAAACTGAAACCAGTGCACCCATGGTCCAACTGGATGTCTGGTCAGCCAAAATCACCTAAAACGACACCTAGGTCCACACATCACCCCCACCAAAGGAAAAAGCACTTTTAGATGGCCCCACGAAGTTGCTTGAGCTGGCCACAATTGGAGAACAAAGCGACTCCTGCAGAATCCAGGTCTCACACTAACCAACGTTGGGCCCAACCCTAATTGACACACGTCATGAAAAAGGTTGCTATTGAGTTGAGGAGCAACCAGCACCAGGCGATGCGCCAGTTTCTGGGGTTAAGGCATGATTTTCTCAAGCTCATCTTTGAAAAATCAACATCCATCTGCCAGGTTCTTCTTCGATCCGTCGACAGTACCAACAAAATACCGATCAACACGGCCGGTTCCCTGTTGGCTTCCAATGAACAGCAGCCAACCGCTAGGTTGATTGATCAACGCCACTCCCATGGTTCAAAGTACATGGGCCAACGCCAAACTTCGCCAATCTCTCCAAACTTTCGCCGAACTTTCGCCGAACTTAGCCAATCTCGCCATACTTTGGCCAATTGCGCCAAACCTTGTCCAATTTCACCAAACTTCGCCAATTTCGCCAAACCTTGCCCAATTTCGCCCGAATCCACTCCGAGCAGCGCCAGGCTGTTGTTGGAGCTGAAGTCCAAAGTGCCCAAAGATTTCGAGACCAGGCCCGCTGTGAACTGGTCCTGTCGAAGATTCACGCTTCGCAAGCGTGTGTTCCAAGTTGCGGTGTTGTTGGGCATTGTTATGCTTTGTTTGGTGCTGCGCTTTGTTGCTTGTTTGTTGCTTCTTCTGTTTGTTTGTCGTGTGTTGTGTTTGGTTGTGTTTGGTTGTGTGTGCTGTCCTTGGCTGTTTGCTGTCGTGTGCTGTTTTAACGTTGCTGTTGGGGTGTTGGTCTTCTCTGTGGGGGAAGGGAACGCTGGGCAGAATCCGGATCGCTTCCAAAAGGAGGAGGAATCAAACCAGCTGATAGCTAACCTGAAGAGATTACAGCAACTCGGGCAAAAGGTTGTGGAATCTGTTGTGACCCTTGTAGCGTAGTGTATCCACACAAATGAGGCTCAGCCTGATTCGCCTTCGGAGCAAAACAACCTTCATCTCCGAGTTGTGGACCGTATCACTCCAAGGTCAGCTCGCCAAAATGCCGTGTGCAGGACCAATTTATTTATCCCCCCCAAGTGCCGGCTGCGCATCCCGCTGTCCCGCTCCACCCTTTTGGACAACTGTGGCACACCTCCTAGAAGCAAACTAGTGCTTGGTAAGCTTGTGGTTCATAGCAACAGCAAATGGGCGGTTTCTGGCGTCGCGTTGACGTTGCCCCTTGTTTTTTGGCTTGGTGACCAATTCGGGGGCTGGTCCCTCGGAATTGATCCGGAACCCCTCTATGGGCCCCTTCAAAACATCGTCCAACTTTTGCGCATGCGGACAGCGAGGCGGGGCTGATCCACTTCAACTTGGTGAATCCTCGACATTGCCAGAAGCATCGCCTTTTTTCGGGACTTACCTCTGGGGGGAGTCCGGAGAGCTACGCCCATGCTTGGTGGCGGCAAAGACCCCGGCCGAACACGAAAAGAAGGGAGACCCAAATGGGGATACACAAGAAAACATCCTTTGACTCACGCGGAAAGGTGTCGCTACCAAACCCCTAACCGTCATAGAAACCGGCAAATCACAGGCAATTCTACAGGAGCATAATAAAGTGTGAGTCGGGCACGAGCCTGTGCCCAGGCAATGGGTAAGTTGGGGTAAACAAGCCACAAAAGAAAGGTTCCCCAAAAGCAAACCAATCCCCGGTCCCAAAGATCAGGGTTTCCCACACACCAGAGAACAACAACCAAAAGAGAAAAGAGTTAACCCGCAACCTTGATCGACGACAGGCCGCACGAATGGCCCCTACCAACCTGACGGCGGCCCGAGGTCTCTTTCTCCCCCGAGATGCCGTCGGTCGACGCAGGGGCTCGGCGACGCCCATCCGAGGCGCGACGGAACCCATAAACTTGAGCCAAAACACCACCGGTCAGTCACTACCGCGACTTCCCAGATGATGATTTAAACCATGGCTAAAGTACTCCTGACCATGCGCATCTGTAAAACACACGAATTCCGCAAACCTCGGAGTATCCTCCACCATCTTCTCTCACTCACACTACTTCATGGTGTCCATGACCAGCAGCCGAGCAGCGGACATGAACCCCGCGCCTCAGCGGTGCGGTAACGTCCTGAAATGGCCTTCTACTGGGCTCGCAGCAACCCGCTCGGGCTTCTTTGCCATCGCTTTGGAAGCAGTCAAGGGCGCTACCGCGTCCTTTATACCGAAGATCTGCCAAGCGCGGAGTGAAGATCATCTCCACTCGCCTCTCTTGCCGCCGCACCTGGCCTGCTGTCAACATCGTCAGGTCTCTTCGATGCCTCCCGCTTCGTAGATTCCTTGGCAGGCACCTCTGGATCCCAACGAGATTTTCTTTCCCTCTTTTGCTTATCAGCCGAGCCCCGACTATCGCCGGGAGCATCGTCACCGCTCCCCTTCTCCTTCTTGACCTCAACCTTCGGGTCAGTTTGCCTCGTCTCCTTGGACTCAGCCCTCGGAGCCTGAGCGTTCTTCGCCTCAGGAACTGGAGTTGCCTTCCCCTTCGGCTCGGCCTTTGGGGCTGAAGTCGTCTTTGCCTTTGCACTTGGCCGAGCTCCTTCAACCGCGATCGCGACCCAAGTTTTCTTCGGTTGAGCCTCAGGTGGGTCAACTTCCATCGGAGTCGGCCCAGCATCAGCCTTGCCCTTCGCTTTTGGAACGGCGGAGCTATCGCCCTTGCCAGATCCTTTTCCCGATGCCTCACCTGACTTCGGTCGTGGGTCGGAAGGACTATCGCCCTTACCACCCTTTTCACCCTTCTTCCCTTTTCCTTTTCCGCCCTTGATGACCGGCTCCTGCTTCGGGCCAGGACCCTGTGCAGCATGATGCACCGACTGAAGCTCGTCGATGTTCACGTCTTGCGGCTCAGGTTGTTTACCATCAACAACGGTCCTCACCCTTTTCGTTACTAACGTAGACGAACGGATCACGGAAAGGCGCAGGAGGCTCTGACCGTCCATCATTGATTGCCTTCTGCACCTTGGCAATCGCCTCCCTCAGCCTTTTCTTCTCGTCGTACCCCGTCGACGAGACCATGTATAGTTCCTGATATCAGCCATCAGCCGATGACTAGCCAGGATATCTGCATCCTTCCTATGGGTTGGATACATCGGAGTCAGATGACCCGCAGCAGCACCGATCACATAAGCCATCGGAATGTAGAAGGACAGATATGTGTCATGACGAGCGAACTTCCTAACGGAAGTCGTCATACGTCTTCCCCGCTGGGCTGCATGACGCCGGATTCGCCCGGAAGTACTCAGACACCGAATCAAATCTATTGATTTGGTTGGTCTTGATCAGGTGCTTCGCCACCCACTTCTGAACGAAAGCGTCCGATGCCGAGATGCCCGACACGTAGGAGAACTGAAAGAGCACCTTCGCCATTTCATCCCACGCCACGTCGACTCCACCCTTATCTTCCCCAAGATAGGGAGGCAACCGGATGCCACTCTGCACAGTCAACCTCAGGTCGGATGCCATCGAATAGGAAATCAAGTTCCTCTTGATGACCCCGACCACATCGGAAGCGATCCTCTTGGGTTTGAACTGTCCCATGCTCCTCACCCACTCCGGGACAATGCGGCTCCTCGCGAAGTCCTCCTCGTCCGCGTTGGGGATGAAGTTCGGGTAGAAAACCGGGAGCGCACATCCAGGGCACAAGTGCATCCCAGATGGCGTGATCTCCGCGCACCTCAAACACAAAGTACTTGTCACATTCAACCTGGCATCTTCCCGCGTCCGCTTGTGACTCCCCGTATCGGGGCAAAATCACCATAGTCCCAAACTCGATGATACACTATTGTGTAACCATCGAACATGTATGCGGCCTTCCACGCACCCATCTGGATCTCGTCCCGAACGGCAAGAGTCTTCCTCCTTGTCAGATATACGGGCCCAATCAGCGACCAGTGTACCCGAAGATCCACCATGACCACTACGTGCCTACCTGAGTAGTTGCGCAGTCTGTCCCTGACGTACCACAAAGGCGATACCTCGCCATCGGGGCGCATAGGCACCGTGATTGGAACCAGGCCCTCATCCGGTCTCCCATCTCCTATCGAGTCATACTCGTCTGGCCTTGTGATCAAGATCTCGATCATGGCCTTTCCATTCCGCCTCATCCTTTGAAATTGGACCGCCTTCCTGAAGTCCTGAAACTTCATCACGACGTATCCCACCATAGGAAGCTCATCCCAGTGCATCTCATACATGAGAGACCCACCAGGAGCGTCCCCATCTGCGTACCTACGTCACGCAGCCTGAAAGCTCATACCCGTCCGATCCGCGTGAACCTAACAGCCACCAACCTGGTGTGATCCTTGAGGAGAACGCCAGCCTCGTCGTACATGGCCGACCGGGAGAGCCTTATTGATTGCCGGATTTGAAGAATGTCCGAGTCATCTCAGCATTCTCCATCCCCACAACCTCCTTCAGGAACCACACGGCCTGATCAACATTCACCCAATTTCCAGCCTTCTCCTCGAATAACTCCGAGACCCTCTTCGAGTTGATGACCAAGTCATCAAATTTGCACGTGAGCAGCTTCATCAAAGCCTGCGCAGCCTCCCGCCCCGCCACCGCCTGATCATAACCCGGAACGTACTCGCCCATCCTGCTCTGGGAACCACTACCTGGCACGTCCTAGCCTCACTGGGCACAAGCCCAGCATTTCGCAACTCCTGTCTGATCTCCTGCCTTCGGCAACGCATTCGTCTGTCCGTTTGTCCAACATGTTGTAGGCCTTGGTGATCATCATCCGAAGTGACGTTTCCTCGCTATCACGAGCACTGGCCACGTAATGGACCTCATATAGTTCTTGAACGGCCGGTTGTCTGGGGAACCCCTCAACCTGTCGTTCTTCGTCCTGCATGTGAGGATACTGTCCACCAATGCAACCGGATCCAACCCCTTCTTACTCTTCTGGGAGACAGTGTTGAACGTCTGATCCAGCAAGTAGAACACGGTCGCGTCCGGAGTCGCGGACTCCTCCTTGTACACTGGAGGACCGTACCCGGCAGACGCAGCCGCCGCTATTCTCAACGCGGCGCCCGTCCCACTGGCCGCAAGGCATCTGAGCAAGATTATCAGCTTGTTGGAGCCACGGCTCATCTCGTTCAGCACAATGGAGGGGTAGATGGGGAGCATCATGTCCATTAACATGGCAGTTGCCCATGCATCCCAAAGCCTTTCCATCTGAGCGGGATCAACAGCCACCCGGGAGTATCCTCCCCTCGGCAGATCCACGGATTGAGGAACAACCTTCTTGTTCCTCATCAGGCGCATTATCTTCCTGCAGTCCAGCTCCCTTGGAACGATCGCTCCCTTACCAACGACTTTCGCCTCCTCTCCGGCCTCGGTGAAGTACCCTTTTGTCAAGGTGATCTCAAACGTCTCGCCTTGGATTGCTTCACTCATGTTCGACTTCGGCACGGTCTTAGCGAAGAGCATTCCGCCGTCCGCCTGAGCTGCCTGAGATGTCCCTGGAGCAGCGCGCAAGTTCTCCTCTTCCACCGAAAGACCTATCGGTCCCATGTAGTTCTCGGGGAAGAACTTGTA